ATTTTATGGATGACGTCCGCGCGCGCATTGATTTTGGCCTGTTCCTAGAAAAAAAACAAGAAATTCCGCTTCCTGTAACTATGACCAAAGAGTCACGACAGTGCCGCAAATAGGTTTGTACGGACCAAAGCATCAAGCAACGAAATCATGACTTCAGGAATTCAGTTTGGTACATGCTGCCACATTTGAAGAAACTTGCTGACCGCTCCATCTATCTCCCCAAACTCACAGGACGACAACTGCTGTTCCACCTGACTTCTTGCTTGTTACACTGTGTCACCTCATTCAATTTGTGTCCTAACATTTGTCGTCTCTTAGTATATTTCTTATCTAGGCATCTTGTTTTTTAGGGCCCGTCTTTTTTTTTTTCGCCCTCTCGCATTAGATTTAGGGTCTCCAAAGGACGTCATCCATAAAATTTACTTGGTGTGGCCTTATAGCAACTGACAAGGCTTTATCACACCATATTCACCTTGGGGCGGGTCATTAACCCTTAATTAAAACGTCAGGCATTGTATGCATGTATTCTACAATGTTGTGGTGCATCTTTTTATTTTACGGTATCAAAACAATTTCCAGAAGCGTGCTGGAAACAGGTTGGGAGGGTGCACGTGGCGAGATCGTCGGCGTAATTTTTGTTCTTTGTCTGACTGTTGATCGTAACATCTGACCACATAAATGGTTGTTCACTTATCTGTCCTTCAACAGAAAAACTGAAAGATAAACTTGTTTGTCAACATCGCTGTTTTTCTACTGCTGTAACTCTGCTTCTGGTGCCCCGCCACGAATATCCATTCTTCATTGAGAACGATCCTCGTTTGATGAACTAGTTAATTATATAAATGTGTACGATGTTGTGGGAAGAAGTGCCGCTGCTGAGTATAGTGGATCTATCCTACAAACGTGCGCTCAATTGAACTTGAAGAGGCACAAAAGCCCGGACATGAACTGAACACTGTTCTCGCCTTCAAGAATGTGCGCATGTGCAAGGGCCAAAACCCCGCTGTGCGTGCCTGGCACCCGCTAACATCACTCCATTCATTTAACATCACCCGGCATCAATTAACGTTGGCTTACGTAAGGCGCCTGTGCCTACGCTGGACGGGCCA